TCCAGGCAGGCCCGTGTACTGCAGGTCCAGCACCACCGCTTGCATCGGCCCGAACCTAAACTTCCCGAGCCTCACGTCCGGCAGCAGCAGCTCCCGCCCCTGCTTCCCCTCCGGCCCCATGCCTCCGAGCCCCTGGGTCATCCTGCCCTCGTTAGTAGACAACCCGATAGTGCCATAAGCAAAATCCGGGGAGACGAGGGTGGTGCTGCTGCCGGTGTCCAGGAGGAAATCAAAGGGGCCCTTCCCGGCAACTTCTAAAGGCAGGATAACGTATTCCCGTGGCTCTCTGGCGGTGGTGGCGAGGCGACGCATGGGCATGCGCAGGATGACGCCTTGGGAGGAAGAAGGGGAGGATGGGGAGGGGGACGACGAGGAGGAGAGAGGTGGAGAGGCCTCTGCGTTTCTGCTGTTGCTACTGCTACTGCTGCTGCTGCTGCTGCTGCTGCTGGTGGATTGTGGAGAAGGAGCAGAGGGTGGAGCTGAGAGGCGATGGGCAACGAGCAAGGAGACCAGCTGGTCCTTGTCAAACACTCCCCGCGTGCTGATGCCTGGTGGATGTGGGTGCAAGAAACGACACGCAAAACGGAATTGTGTACACCAATTGATGCCAGCAGAAAGCAAGGAGAGCAGCTGTCATTGTCAAACACTCCCTGCGTGCTGATGCCTAGAGTGTCATGGCAACAAGCGATGATGGAGAACAGCGCGGCTGTTACAAGGTCAATATTGTCCGAATTCGATATAGGATGTTGGGAATCGAGTGCTGTGCTGTGCTGCTGTTCCGTGTGATGTGTGCTGATCTGTGCTGCTGCGTGTTGTGCTCTGTGCCTGTTGCCTGCATGCGTGGATACTGTATGTTCCCTGACCTAAATCACTTCCATACTCAACACTCCAGAAGCCTGTCTATACCCGTCAAAGGCTTTTCCATATCCGCACAGAGGTACAGGCCTTACCAGGGTTACCACATAATATACCTTGTTCGGCGTACCTAGACGGTCATACCCAGGCTCTCGAGCTCCTTCTTGATCTCCCGCGCTCGCATCGCCTCCACCGCTGCCTGCACAGCTGCGGCTGTAGCGGCTGTAGCGGTCTCTCCTGCTCCGCCTTCCTGGGCCCTACTCTTGACACCTCGCCTTCTCTTGCCATTGCCTGTAAGTTTTGTAAAGGAGGTGGCAGTTACAGAATGGTAGTACGCTTGCGAGCCTCGCACACTTGGTAATGTCGCCGTAAGCGACTTCGCCGGCCATCGTAACCGCGAAATCTGAGGCGTCTGGCGCTGCGCCCCCACGGTTGTCGATAGCCGTGGCTCTGAAGCCGGGAAAGGAATCGTGGCAATGCAGCGGCTTCTTGACGGACACAACGCGAGATCCACGCTCGGGCTACATATGTGGAGAGTCGCCATTCTCTCTCAAGCTACCTCGGAACTTTCAGGACAGTCCAAAGTCGGTCGCCTAGTCCCTCATCAGTCATTCAAATTCATGCCGCTGTACGACGGTTCGCTTTATGGTAAGAGTCTACTACGGTATTTCCTTGCTTTCACTGCGTCGTAGTAGATTGCACTATGGCTAATTCAACGTCAGTATTGACACAGGCTCCGCACACAAGGCACCAGACAGTTTTCAAGCATTCGATATACCTAGGAGGTCTATTTGTCCAAATTCGCGCTCAGCGTTGACTGCTTCAGAAAGGCAGCTTGCCTAGGGCATCAGCACAGCACCCCAACAACTGCAACCCGTTGCAAAACTGGCAATTGCTGCTAATAACTATTCCACTGCACGATGTTATGGCTGCTGAGGTGCTTGCTCAAGCAAAGCTTGATTTGCCAGCTCAGGCGCCAAGATTTCTTGCAGTTGGTTCCAAACAGACTCCACTTGATGGACGAACTCTGAAAAGACGGAAATGCCAACAACACAGCACAGTTGAGAAAACAAGATGATGATTATGTTCCAAACAAATAACAAGCAAGCACAGAGATGCATTAGTTGGATTTCTATCGGTGAGGGAGGACTTGCCTTGAAATGTTGGGTCCAAAATACATGCCTGCAGCGAACTCATATTATATTGGGAGGTGTTAGCAAGTTGAACAGCAAAGCCTGGATTTCCAGCCTACCTGAAGTTGAATGGAAAGTGGAGGCGCCTCTTCAACTGCATGCAAGACAAAGGTGAGATTAGCAAAGAAAACTTATGCACAGCTACATTCAGAAAGACCTTTAATGCTAAAACTCAAACCTGCACTCTGAGGTTGGCTCGGCTGAGTCACGCAGCTATGTAGCTTCGCTTCTTTCTCGTCGTTCATCAATCCCTGTAAGGACCGAAAGGAAAGTGACATGTTTCAATAAAAATATCGAGTACATCATGCTTTCTATATAAATCACGTACCTGAATAGCGGCTGAGAAGGACTGAGCAGCAGCAGCGGTCTCGAATCTCATCATAAACTTCTGCGTCTGAGGTAAGTTGAGCGTTTACTGAGATAGGCTTGTCACATGAGAGTACACGTTTCTTACCTGTGATGGAGAATCTGCTGTGGTATAGCACGCTACGACAACTCTAGAGGGTATAGCCTCGGCAGAAGCTTGTGGCCGACAAATCGGTTGGAAAAAGTGAACTCGTAACACGTAATGTTGCTCCTGAAAGATGGTCACAACGTCAGATTTTTTGCCTCAAACAATTTCAACACCGACGCACGGCGAATCGTGGAAAGTTTTCTCACGTAAGTGACTCCACAGATCAAGGAAATCGTGGAGAGCTTGGGATCAGCACGTTTGATGAGCGTGACCGTAACAAGGTCTCTGCTCTTCAACCAGTGTCCTCGAGTTGGTCTGCCTTTCAGGCCAGAAAACTTCCGGACGGCTGCCTGCAGGAAAGCCGTCTGCGTTGCAACGAACTTACTCAAATGGACTTGCCAGGACAGCGAACCCAGCTCCTCGTCTGGTCGCATTCCGGCCATCTGTATGGTATCGTGAAGAATGGAGGAACAATAACTGCGTTTTCGTGCACTAATCTAGACTCTGTTCCTGCCTCTGACAGAAGGCTGAACGTGCTTGGGCGTGCCACACTAGGAAAATCGGCTCTCCTGCCGCTCTGAAATGGATTGTGAAACCCACGAGCTGCTGCTTCTGAGAGGGTGTCTCAGATGTCAGTCCACGTGGGTCCGGCTCGGACCTGACGGACCAGCTCAAGAACCAGCGCGTGAACCAGGGCGGACCGGGACCAGGTTGCGGGGCTTGTAACCCCGTTATACCGTTCGAATGGCACTAAAACGGTGCCATTTATTTGGCCCTCCAGACCAGCCCGCGCCTGGTCCGTAAACAGTGGGTGGTGAAACATTTTTTTGGCGTAATTTCTTGTTTTGTAAGTTTCGCGTGAGATTTTTGTGCAGACGAAGAAAATGGGTAACTCAATTTCAAATTCGTCGCTACTGCTGCATCTCGCAAATACTGTGCATCCCGAAGCGCGACGCATCTGGCAGACCAGTCCGTGTCTGGTCCAACGCTGGTCCGCCAAGTGGGTCCGTCGGACCAGAACCCCGGACCAGGCGTATAGATTCTGGTCGCGGACCAGATCCAGCGGACCCTTCACATGAGACACGTCCTGAAGCTTGGTGGACTCAACAGTCAACGATCGAGGGCGCGGTTCATGGAGCGCAAATCCCAAAGTTTGCTTTCTAAGTTGTATGAAGTTCGATTCCGTAGTCCGAAGATTATTGGAGGTTTTAATCAGTCAAAACGTTACATCGATGGCTACGAAACAATTCGACCTTCGCCGATCCGCAACTCGACCAAATGGGTTACTTTGCGCAGCTAACTTGGCTCTGGCATCATTCCCGAAGAATTTAGTGTAGTTGTCGATGGACCGCTGATTTCGTCGAGCTGCCGAGCGTGGCCGAAAGTGACCGCGTTCTATTGTGCGTACGAGTGCCCATTCGAACGAGGTTTGAATTGTCAGATTGGTAACTTGACCATCCAAGTCGAGCCTTCTGCACAAGCACTGCGGGATGGGTTTTCCTCGAAGGGGCCAACCCTCCCACGGCCTCGGCGAAGTTTGCTGCTAACGACAAAACGGTTTTGCCAACAGCCCATGTTTTTTCCGTTCACCATGCCCATTCTGCCCAGGATGCTCAAAATGTTTCATCCCAACCACTCACGAATCTTCAACATTTGGGTTCACCCTTGCCTCTCGTTTGGTATGTTTTTGTAGTGAGTTATTTCATCACAAAGTTTCCCAAAATCGGGCGTTCAGATCTGCCCGTTATTGCTTGTGCGCCCCCTTATTCTACCTCGGATGGGCGGATAGGGTTCGCACGAGCGGTGCCTCCAGTTTGCCCGTAACAGAAATTTCCCAGTAAGGTCCGAACGCACTAGTCGTGATGCGTTCTTGAATCCTTGGGCGCACAAGAAATGCTACCAGGTTCGGCACACAATAACGAGTTGGGAGGCTCGACAAGGGCTTTAAGCTCTATCATGCGCTTTCCTAGAATATTCCTAAGGGGGCCCAAGCACCCCGAATGCGGCAACAGAACGACACCCTAGAATCCCTCGGCACTCAATAAGATGATCGAAAGCATATGCTATAGGATATACCTAGAAGTAGATACGTCATAAAGCTCTCAAGTATATTAAAGCTGTTAATACTACCCTTTAAAGTTACAGGAATAAATAAGAGGCAAAATGCTGAACCCATGGCTAAATCTCCACTACCGTGATCTACCTAGAAGCCAGCATGCGTCTTCATGAACTCCAATTCCGTAGGTGTGCTCTCCCTTCCCAATACATCATTTCGGTGCGGATACCGACCAAACTTGACAATAATATTCCGGTGCTTGTGCGCAAAATCCAAACCACCTTTAAAAAATCCCTTCACGGGACCTTCAGGGGCATCTTCAACCATTTGAGTCATCAGCTCAATACATTTATCCTGTGCTGCCAAATCTGTAAAACCAGACACATGAACCAGAGAGGCCAGCCACACAACAACCACAGAGAGGAGGGTAAGCTTCCGAATGCTAACATGCAAAGAGGAATGAGCTGACACATGAACAGAGAAAAGCCGTACCTTCCGCGTGCTCAAACGGCAGGTAGAAGAAAGGCCGACCAACCCTGGGCACCTGCCGGTCAAAACCCTTGTCAATGGCCCTGCATGGCACCAGCACAACATTACCCAACTTATTCATGAGAGGGAGGAGAATGTGCCTGTTTTGTTTCACGTCCACACAAAGGAGGAATGTGCTGGAGGTCCGGATGAGATGAAATGGCATGTTGTGATTACATTGTTCAGAAACGCATTCTTCTGCGAGTATAAGAAGCACAGCATGCTGAGAATGAGAACGGATTTCTTTCCTATGCTTGTTTAGTTGACGGGTCCCGAAGAGGAGCGTAAACATGAGATAGCAAAAAGGAGTTGACACCAGAATGGTGATAGAGACACTCACCGCTTAGCAACCTCCAAAGCAAGGTGGTCCTGGAGAGAAAAGAACATGAACGAGCGAAACAAAAAGGAACAACGGCAGGCATACTGGAGCGTTGAAGAAAATGAATCGTGTTTTCGCTTTGCAACCTTCACAGCACTATAGTGCTGGAGACCAAAGAGCATAAAACAGTGAAATGACAGAGTAGGGAGAACATAACACACAAAGAGACATGAACAGCAACTAAGCATTGTACTCAGTAAAACCATATGCTCTTTCACCAGGTGCAGCAGGTGCTTACCTGTGCAAAAGCCTCTGGCGAGCCCCTGAAACTGTTCCTCGTGAACTGATCAAGCAGCACCAGCAATGCGAGGGCGCCATGTGGCGTGTCCTCCCAGCCCGCCAGCTGGCCTGATGCGGCGAGCGGGATAAGCGGAGTGAATCGCGTGCGAATGAAAGCGTCCACGTCGTCATTCTTGCTGAACCACACACGCGCCTTAGCGAGTTCGTCTGACGGTGCAGGGGCTGGGCCCTGCAAGGTTGCAAGGTTCGAGGGATGGAACAAGGGGCGCATGTACAAGTTCCAACAGTTTGGAGCGGTAATGAGCATGATAGATGGAGATTTGCACAATGAGTGGAGCATTGCATGGTGAATGAAGCACAACAGGATGAATGGAGCATGGACTCTCCATTCCAGTATGGAAGAATCTTCCCCACACCCTCCCCCCTTAACACCTACCCTCGCACACCAAAATGCCGGCGGTAGGAGCGAGCAGCGCAGCTGCGCGTGCGCTCGCTTGCTCTACTTGCATCATATATGTAACATTCTCAAAAACCACTCACATCCACTTTTTCTAAAATCCCTCCAAACCGCCGCTTACATCATATCCCGGCCGCATGAAGTCTCCAAACCAGAACGCGAGAATCTCCCCCACCCCCTCGTCCGCCCCGACCGCACTCGCAGCAGCGCTGCTGCTCCCGCTGGCATCACCTCCCACCGTGGCCATTGTTACAATGCCACGTGTCACTTTGGCGTTGCTTCCTGTGCAAGAATTGGCCACTTTCTTGAGCAGCGCAAAGTTAATGACGCGGTTGAATGAGCAGCCCTTCAAGCCGCGCTCCGAGCGATTGTATACCGACTTCTCTTCGGCGTGGACCGGAGAAGACGGTGAGTAAGGAGCAGCCAGAAAAGCCGGCGTTCTTATCGGAGCGGCATAAGTTGCGCTCCTGTCTGGCCTGGTAGTCACAAGAGCGGTAATCCTCGGTGCGCCGACGCGTGGAATCACGGCGGAAGCCAGGAACGACCGTTCAGCGGCTGATGTCAAACACAAGACGCGCCTAGTGAGGGACATAGGAATGGCGGCTTGTTACAAGGCACGCAGCAATTGCAGGTAGCTTTCTTCGAGTAACAGTTTCCTATGGCATGCACCAATCGATGACACTGGCTTTTCTGTGCGTGAACCAAGGTTGTGCGGGCAGTAAAATGCGCATGCCGTCCGTCGATCGCATCACCTCTCTCATTCCCACACAGTCGGAGGAAACCAGAAGGCAGTTACGGGGATTTCTCGAAGGTAGCCGAAGGAACGAGGTAATTATTGTGCGTCTGCCCCAGTCGTCAGCAGGTTTCGGGAGATACAACAGGTCTCACTTGCAATAGTGTTGATGTTAAAAAAAACAAGGGGTGAGAATTGTCGAAGTTGAAATACGGACATGTAAATTTAAGATATATTTCGGCATATCTTTCTTGTAACGAAGCGCGGCAATCGAGGTTAACACACCGCGCCGCAGCAAAGTGCAGTTTGGCTCGGGGTGTTTTGCCACATCACCGTGGCGATACCTCGTCATCCGTTTGACCACGTCAATTCGCGAAAAGTTGCCGAATTCGCCGACCACTCTTTCCTGAAATGACTTGCTTCTCACCTCTCGTTTTCACTTGTGCATTCGCAGTTCTTCGTGAGAGGTGCAGACTACCATCAGCAGCTTCTAACACACAGAACCAGCACCACCAATTTGCGGCCAATTCATTCATCCAGATAGCTACTGCTTGCTGCTTGAGTACAAGTTTCTGACGGTCTCGCGAGTAGTCTTTAGACCGTCGTTCAATAGCGCCTGGCGTGGCAGAACGCTCCGTTTCCATCGCAGGGACTTGAATTGTGGATGTGCTTTCTGACGACTCTGCGTGCGCTCGTCCGTCTCTTTTCGTAAAAGCGGACGCGCATACATTCTTTAGGACGCATTAGGAGGGACACCTTGAGGAGTAAATACGATTTTTCGCCAGCGCTCGCAAGCCGCCGATTCTCTCCCGCGTACGAAGCGGATTACGTGCGTCGTTCGATTGCCGCCATGGCTGTCATCGCGCGCTGCGCGATTCGCGCGTCCTCATCAAACCCGTTTTCGTTATCGCAATTCCCAATATTGCATTCGTCGGCAGCAGCGCAAGTTAGCTCCCCGTCCCCGATACAAGCTCTCAGTCAACATCCGCTATTATCACCGAAGCTCACGTCTAATAAAACGATCCATCATCAGCTGTCAGCAGGGAGAATTTCCATCAGGCGGCGGAGAACTCCGGCCCATCCTAGCTCCGAAACCTCGCGGAAAGCTTCCTCGTCCCGTCCTACTGGTTCATCTCATGCCATCGTGCCATGCCATCCTCTCGAGCAGTTGATTTAGGCTCTAGCTCCCGCTCTGATGCCCCAACCCATGTCCCGTGTCCCGCGGCTCACTTCGCGTCACACCCTAGTCTACTGCTTTTTATCTCACACATTCCAGTCTCGATTCCCACATCACCCCCTTCTCTCCCCCGGCTCTTCTCTCCATTCTCAGCGGCGCTCTTTACCCAGAGAATCGACGATCCTGAGTTCAGCCTGCTTCCCATCGCACGGCCAGAATTGCACCAGCTGGGCGAGTGCTTCGCGTGCGCCCCGCCCACCAGCGCGCGCCGCAAGCCGCTCAAAGGCATCATCACATTCTTTGGAGGCGCCTTCCTGGGAGCTTCGCCAGACGTTTTCTACAGGTGTGGTTTGGTCTGGTGTGGTGTGGTGTGGTGTGGTGTGGTGTGGTGTGGTGTGGTGTGGTCTGGTCGGTTCGGTTGGGTTGGGTCGGGTCGGGTCGGGTCGGGTCGGGTCTGGTCCGGTCTGGTCCGGTCCGGTGCAGTATGGTCTCGTCTGGTCGCGTCTGGTTATGTCTAGTTTGGTCTGGTCCGGGCCAGTCTGGTCTGCTCTGCTTTGCTCTGGTCTGTTCGGCCTCCTGCCCTCCCTCCACTCTACGCCACTCGCTTCCTCCACGTCCTTCAAAGCCCGATGCACACCGTCCTATGAATTTTCCCTGTTCTCCCACTCATCTCCTCTCCCCCCCCTTTAATCCAGCGCATTATTGCCCCCAGGCCTTTCTGGCCCCTTGCTTGCCGCTCCTCTTCCGCTCTCTGCCTCCAGCCTTCTTTCCCTTAGTTCCCTTTCCATGCAGTCGCTCCCTCTCCCTTGTTCCGCAGTACTCCAATTGTCTACCTCTTACTCATCCCATGCCCGTTCCTTCTCAGTATCTCTCGTGGTCATCCCTCGTTTTTATCGTCCTTCCCCTTCCATTTTCCTTTCCCCGCCTTCCATTGCAGTTACTTTCTAGACCTTCTTGCCAAGGGCGGCTATCTGGTGGTGGCTGTGCCTAATCCAATCACCTTCGACCACGTGGCAGCAGCTGCCGGCCTGCACGCCCGTGCCACGTCAGCACTCGACCTGCTCCAGCTGCACGGGCTGCCTTCTGCAGGGATCTCTTCTGCTGACGTGGACGGTCTGCCAGTCTACAGCGTAGGACACAGGTACGGTCGATGCTGTGAATCCTCATATGCAACGTGGGTTGAACTCAGAGACATGATCCCACAGCATGCTGTGCCTCCTCATTGTTCCTCTGCCCCTCCGCCCGTCTGCCCCATGGCCGCTCTACCTCCCACTCTCCAAGAGTCTTGCCGCTGCACATAGTAGGAGCCAGTTTGCCGGGGTCATACCTTCCTTGTCCTTGTCATCCCACTCTATCCATTCTGGCCATCGCCCCCTCACTATCCCCTGACCCTGTGTCGCTCATAGCAACAGTACTCATCACTCTCCTTTCGAGGTTTCTCATCACTCTCGCTTCCCTTTGGACAAGAAAGGGTCTTCTTCTCCTGAAGCATCCCCCACTCATTCTTGTCCCCGTGTGAAAACACTTTTCTTCTCAAGCTCCCCCCACTCATAGTAACAGTACAGTACTCATCACCCTCCTCCGTTTCTTCTCCCAATAACGCCTTTATCTCTTCCTGCTCCGTCATCCAACCCCCCTCCACCCTGTTCAGCAACGGCGCTCTGATGCAGCTGCTGATGGGCAGCCTCTCCACCACCAAGAGAGACCGCCTGCCTGAGGTGAGTGCAGGCAGGTGCAGGCAGGCGAAGGCAGGTGAAGGCAGGTGCAGGGAGGTGAAGTGAAGGCAGGTGAAGGCAGGTGCAGGGAGGTGAAGTGAAGGCAGGTGAAGGGAGGTGAAGTGAAGGCAGGTGAAGGGAGGTGAAGTGAAAGCAGGTTCAGACACGCGAAGGCAGGCGAAAGCAGGTGAAGGGAGGTGAAGGGATGTCAAGGCAGGTGAAGGGAGGTGAAGGGAGGTGAAGGTCCGTGTCATGTGCACGGGGGGTTGGAGGGGGAGGGAGGGAGAAACGTGGTCGCACGCAGTTGGGATGTAAGTTACTCCCATCAGGTCCCGCTACCCCATTGCAATGGTAAGCGTGTTCAGGCAAACAAAGACCGGATGCCTGAGGTTTGTGCAAGCAGGTGCTGTTTCGTGTCATGTGCATGGGGTCCGGGAAGGGAGAAAGGGCCGCGCAGTTGGGATGTAAGTTACTCCCATCAGGTTCCAAAGGGGAGTGACTGCCACCACCGCTAGCTTCCCCATGTCAGTGGTAAGAATGGTCAGGCCAACCAAAGTGTGGCTGCCTCAGGTGGTTGGATGTGAAGTCTCGTGTCATGTGCATGGGACGGGGAGGAGGGGAACGTGCATCAAGTGAAGTGGACCAAGTACCACCTCCACCATCCTCTGAGATGCTCGTAGTACCACGCCTTGCTCTTCCTGTGCATGACAGTCGGTGGTAGTGAAAAGTGACCAACCTATGCGCTCCTGCATGTCTCTCTCCCCCTCATTTCTCTCCCTCCCTCCTGTCTCTCTCCCCCTCATGTCTCTCCCTCCCTCCTGTCTCTCTCCCCCTCATGTCTCTCCCTCCCTCCTGTCTCTCTCCCCCTCATGTCTCTCCCTCCCTCCTGTCTCTCTCCCCCTCATGTCTCTCCCTCCCTCCTGTCTCTCTCCCCCTCATGTCTCTCCCTCCCGCCTGTCTCTCTCCCCCTCATGTCTCTCTCCCTCCCTCCTGTCTCTCTCCCCCTCCTGTCTCTCTCCCCCTCCTGTCTCTCTCCCCCTCCTGTCTCTCTCCCCCTCCTGTCTCTCCCTCCATCCTTCTCTCTCTTTCCCTCCGTGTCTCCCTCCCCTGCCTACCGTCCTCCCATCCAGGCAAATGTGGTCATAGCATTCAACAACCGCCCAGCGTCCTTCGCAGTGCCGTACTTTGACCAGGTGAGGTGAGGTGAGGTGAGGTGAGGTGAGGTGAGGTGAGGTGAGGTGAGGTGGTCATTGGCCAAGCCGCCAAGCACATGCCTGCGAGTTTCCTGCCAAAAGTCCAACTACATGAAAGCAAATTTTCCCAACATTCAACAACCGCCAGGCTCCAACATTAAAAGGCTGTTCATCTCGCAAGCATTTCCCTCAGTTTGCCCCCCTCCTGTCTGCACACTATCAGGTCCTTCTCTTCTCACCCCCCTCCTATCATATCAATCTCTTTCCTCACCCCCCTTCAGATGGGGCCAGCAGTGCAGCAGCTAGCTCCAGCTATTGAGGCATTTCCGCTCACTGGCATTGCGCTGAGTGTGGCAGGTAAGCGATCAGTGTGGCAGGTAAGCGATCAGTGTGGCAGGTAAGCGATCAGTGTGGCAGGTAAGCGATCAG